GAGAAGCTGTTCCGGGAGATTGGCGATACGTTGGACTACCAGAACCTCCACTTCATGATCCCCCTGAAGACCAGGACAGCTCCGGAGGTTGAGGCTGCGATCCGCCTAATGTACGTTCAACTACGAGCGGAAGGACTTGCGGTACAACGTGTGCATAGCGATCGTGCTCGCGAACTGCGGGGGCAATCCATACGCCGTTGGCTGCTGGAGAGAGACATATACCCTACCACGGGTGAGGCACAAGTGCCTCAAACAAACGGCAGGGCTGAGCAAGCAGTCAAGGCGCTGAAGAGAAGAGCTAGAACGCTTTTGCAAGCTTCGTCCTTGCCAAGATCCTGTTGGCCGCTTGCAATGGAACACTCAGCTTGGGCGCAGCGGGAATGTGCACTGGGCCGGTCCTCTGGAGTCATACCGTTTGGGGCGAGTGTTGCAATCAAGGCTAAGGTCTTTGGTCAGGGTGGTAAGTTCGACTTGAACAACAAGTGGGACAATGGCAAGTTTGTTGGCCCATCCGCACAAGTTCGAGGAGGATATGTGGTCAGAGACCCCAATGGGCGCTACTTGACGACAATGCACATGAAGACCAATGTTGTCGATGTTGATGCATTGATTTCTCCAGAGGCCGTTGAGGCTACCTTGCCGGTGTCTGAAAGAAGGCTGAGGGGCAAGGTGACGGTGACTGAGAGGAGCGTGCGTGGAGACCTTCTACCAACGGAGGATTCGAGACCGGGAAGTTCACCACTGGATCCATCTGGGGAAGTCGTAGTACCCACGTCATCTACTACATCAGCACCTGGGGGCCCCGATCCTGAACCAACAGGAGAACCAGTACGTCGTCTACGCGAAAAAACTACTTTGGCAACTCTACGGCCCCTCACCGAATTGGAGCTTGAGATTGAGGAGTTGGCGGCAACCTACGATGTAGAAGAGCAGTACAACGAAGAGGCAGTCCTAGCGGTTTTTGGGATGTTGGAGCGAACTCGCTTACAGGAGTCAACTGCTGCCAATCGCAAGTCTCAGACGGCTTCTACGTCATGGTCAACGGGGATGTTTACCCATGGTGGAATCTCAAGGATGAGACAGTCATCTGTGAGAATGCCGGCTACAACATCGTTCTTGGCAAAGGCGGCAAAAGAAATTACTGGAATGACCCACTTTGGAGCGGTAGCTGTGACAAGAGGATCTCAGTTGCGCGCACACCGAGACTCTCACAATGATTTGGCGTCCCAAAACACTGTGGCTGCGCTTACAGTGTTTCAAGGTGGTGGATTGTGGATCGAAGATGATGATGGAGGTCAATGGCGTGAAGTCTCGCCTGGGAGGTGGGTTCAGGGTCGAGTTCATGAACTACAACCGGGGAAGCCAGTGACCTTCAGTCCTCGGAAGTGGCATGAAACACAGCGTTTTCATGGTGACCGCGTTGTGATGATGGTCTACACCCCAAGAACGAGCAAGTTGTCCGATGATGATCGCAAGAGTTTGTGGGAGTTGGGTTTTGACATTCCGGCCCCTCAAGGAGACCCTCAACCGTCACTAGCAGAAGTGCCAGAGCTGAAGCTGCAATATTTCCTTGATGAAGACGCGGCTTTGGAAGTCTCGCCCTACCAGGACAGATCTGAGGAGGAGGGCAAGGTGCTGGACAGTGCTCTTCTACGTGCCAGTGAATATCAGCAACAGTTGTTGGATGATATGATGGATCGTTCCTCCTTGTTACAAGATCTACTTGAGGAGGAGGAAGAGCGCATGCAAGACCTACAACATGTGCACAAGGGAAGCGTTGAAGCAGCTACACAGGCACATGGCGAGATTATGCAGATGTTGGAAACAGCGAGTGAACGACTTCATCGCCATCGGGAAGCTCGAGATGAATGTTTCTTGAAGGCAGTTACCGTGGAGACGGAGCAACAAGACTTTGAGAGATTGCTTCAAGAACTCACAGGTGATTTGCAAGTCACGCATACAGTGCCTCTTCAACAAGTGAAACCAGTGGCGCACAAGTGGCGTGATGCCATTGAAAAGGAGCTTGCGAACCTCTTTGAAAAGACCGGAACCCTCAAGAAGATCACCATGAAAGAAGCAAAGCGGCTAGAAGCACAGGGCCTTTTGAGGCTTGTACCAAGCAAGGGCGTTTACACGTTGAAGCCCCCCTCCGAGAAAGGGGGCGGTTTCCGAAGGAAGTACAGACTTGTGCTTTGCGGGAACTTCGTGAGCTTGGAGGACAGCCAAGGATCCCTGTACGCCGGGGGCATCAGCGCAGAGTCTCTACGAGCGATCCTTGCCATCACATCCCGAAAGGGATGGAAAGGGGCTACTACTGATATCACGGCAGCCTTTCTCCAGGCTGTGTGGCCTAGCGGGATGCCAATGTATGCAGTAGTTCCTCCTCGTTTGCTACAAGAGCTCGAGTATGCGGAAGATGGAGAGGCCTGGCTTGTGCTACGCCCACTATATGGACTGAGGGAATCACCCGCTGTGTGGGCCGAGCATAGAAATGGAAGGTTCCGTTCGCTACGCATCCCTTACCGAGGCGGCTACATCGTGCTCCAGCAGTCGAAGGTGGACTCAGAGTTATGGTTCGCCGTAAACCAGTCGGGGGCTCAAGAAGCTCAGGGTAGCTTGATCGCCCTGATTGTGGCCTACGTTGATGACTTGTTCTACATTGGGCCAGAGGCAGTGGTGAAGCTACTTCATGACTGGGTTAGTGCTGAATGGCCGTGCTCGGAGTTACAGTGGGCATCCTCACCAGAAGGAGTTCGTTACCTTGGGATGGAGATCTTCCAGAGGGAGACAGGCGAATACGAGGTGACGCAGCAGGGCTATATCATGGATTTGATTCGATCTCATGACCTTACAAGGGCTCCTCAGACTTTGTTGCCGTGCCCGAAGGAGTGGATCACTGATGATGTGGACACCGAGTCTGAAGTCTTTTCAGAACAAGACCTTCGGTTCGCTCAGAAGCTGATTGGAGAGCAGTTGTGGCTGGCAATGCGCTGCAGACCAGATGTGCATTTTGTCGTGAGCTATATGGCGAGCTGGGTGAGCAAGCATCCATTGAGAATCACGAGGTTGGCGTTGCGAGTGCTCTCCTACCTACACAAGACGGCCGGTATGAAGATGGTCCTCGGTCAACCTTCTGACGGAGGTGCAAGCGATGCAGCTACAGCACACGCCAGCAGCAGCAACGAGCAACACAGCAAGCAACATGGTGGTTGGGAAGGGTGCAATCTTAAAATAGTGGGTTACTCGGACGCTAGTTTTGCTCCCTACGGAAGCCGATCCTACGGTGCGTCCTTGATAACGGTCGAAGACTCGCCTGTCGCATGGCGATGTGGGAAGCAAGCCTTTGTGGTGCTTTCAGTCATGGAAGCGGAGCTCTACCAGGCAACGGAAGCTGCAGTTCTTATTGAAAACGTAGCTACATTGCTGGATGAGATTACATCAATGCGCTTGGATCGTGTCCTCCTTGTGGACAACACTTCAGCAGTTTCAATGGCTCAAGGAGGGCCTGGAAGTTGGCGAACAAGACACCTCAAGGTGAGATCTGAATACCTGCTGGAACGTGTCAAGGAGAATCTGCTCATGGTTTCCCATGTCGATGGCCAGAAGCAGAAGGCGGACCTATCTACAAAGGCTCATTCGAAGGCCAGACTGTATACGCTGCTCAAGATGTGGAGGTTTGAGAATCTCCCGACTGAAGCAGAGGTACTGATTGTGGCGCGCATGGCAGCTACTTTGTGCCTAATCCAAGCCTTGAAGAACTTCCCAGGTGCCCAAGGGATTTCAGTTGAGGAGTTGGGCAATGTGAGTTTGGCTGGATGGGATGAGCTGTTCATTTTCACTTTGGCTACCTGTCTTGTTGCAGTGCTGGTGTGGGAGCTTGTGAAATATCTTGGGCGATGCCTTTGGAGCTTCCTGTGCAAGCCATCCAAGGGAAGGCGTGCGAAGAAGCTTCGAGCAATGGCAAGAGTGGCGGCGGAAGCTGAGGTGGATCGAGCGTTGTCACCTACGGTTGATGATGATCCACCTCCGAGAGCTTTCGCTGGACCTGCAAGCACTAACTGGTTCCCTTCTTCATTGCGTGTGGAGAAACGGTCGATTGCGACCCAAACCCCAGACTGGGAGACGACGACGCCGCCAGTGATTCTTACTCCCCCGCCGGTTCATGTGGCTTCTACGATTCAGGACGCCAGGGAGTACATTCACTGTGATGGGCCTTTCTTCAGGTCTGAGCATGGAGATACAATCCATACATCGAGCTCATGCCAAGGCTTCCGCTTGGCATCTCACAGTATTCTGCAATACAGGTTGTGTAACTTCTGTAGCAGACGTGACCCGCTGTATAAGATGAGAGAGCGTACAGTTGGGTCAACGAGAAGAGCCTTGAGGTTTTCCAGCACCGGTTGACTGGAACGAGTCCGAAGCCTATGCACAAGTGAAGCTTGCGCATCTATGAAGTTTGCATGCAGCAGGGTTGTGGAGCAGCTTTGCAGCACCAGATCTTAAAGATCTACGCTTCCGCACTGGTGACATCCTCCTGAAGCGGAGGTGTCAAGGAGGAGTGTGGATTCCTTGTAGGTTTGAGTGATGCCTTTGAACGCGTTGCTTAAGCTCAAGTGAGATGGTTCTCGCATGTACTGACGCATGAAGCATCTAGACAATCGTCAGCATGTAAAGACGCTGAACATACGCAGTTGATTGTCTCTGATCGCGGAAAAATAAGCCTTGCTGTGCGATGGAACCCGTCCTTTAGTCCCTCTGGACCTCTCGTGAAGAACCCCGGCAAGCACTCCGCTGTCTTTCGTTATTCACATATTCCTAAGTTAGCGTTCCTTATCCTAACTGTAGCATAATAAGATACGCAATGACGTCTAATTCTTTTTCAGGCCCCTATATGTTGAACCTCAGGCCTCGGATGTCATATTAGGGCACTCCGGTCCCAGGCCCAGTTTAGGGTTTCGGATATAGGGTTGTGGGCGGTGCTTGTGGGAACAGTGATGCAGGCATGCGACGAGTTCGACGGGCCTTATCGCGAGGCACGTGTTGCCTCTGGCCCCAAAGCCGTCAAATTTTTATGGGAACCCTGATAGCGACCCTGTAACAGGAACCCTTATAGTAGCCATTGTAGCATCTCTAATTTAGCCATTAGTGATCTTGGACACTGTTGAGCATAAGGTTTCCAGTCACCCTTATTTATGAGAAGTGTAACTGTGCATTCGGCGAAGCTTCGAGCCTGGTTTTGATTTGCAATGACGGCTTCCGAAAATGGGGGTCTTCTTGGGTGTGGACGTGCCGGCTTACGGACCTTACTTTTCTGGGCTGACATTGGGATCCTCTGTGTTTCGGACCGCTCAAATCCTTCTTGGATTTGCAAGCGCGGAACGCTGTTAAACTGGTTTCCCCTCTAATTGCCGGCGTCCTTGTTATAAGAGTGCACGTGCACTGTGGGGAAACGCACAAACCTAGAAAATCCTGTTCTAACTAGATCAGATCATTATATAAGGGCGCCCCCACATAGTGGAGGAGCTAGGAGGCCCGACGAGGTCTGATAGAGTTGCTTCTGTTCTTTCTGAGCTGGCTTCGGCGGCGAGCTGGTGGCAGCTAGTCTCACCAAAACAGCATAGTGCAGGATCTATGTGCGAGCTGTGTTTGTTCAGAAGAAATAACTAACTACACTCCTACTCAGGCCAGGATGCTAAGTCCTGAACCAGTGAGCCCATCCGGACCTGTGACCGCACAGCGGTTCCTGCAGGACCTGGTTTTGCGGCTCTTGCCCCCCAGCCTTGTGTGATAGCTGAATCACGAAGATCGATGCTGAAAGGTTGGCAAAGAGAGCCATCCTCACCCTAAATCCCCAAATCCTTAACCCTCAAACCCCAAAGCCCTAAAGCCCTAAAAAGCCTACAGCTCTAAACCCGAAAAATCCAAGCCCCTGAGCCGGAAAACCATGGACCCCTAAGCCCCGCACCACCCAAAATCCTCCCCCTCCCCCGGCCCCCAAAACCCTAAATTCCATACCCTACGGGGCAGACGGAAAAGAGGGTTCAAAAAAAAATACCCTACATCCTAAACCCTTAAACCCCAACCCCCTCAACCCTACCCCTGGTGCCCCCCTTAGCGGAGGTGGCCAAAGCTGTCGCCGAGCGGCAGAGACCTGGTAGGCGGCCCTCGCTGCATCTCAGCGGCAGCTCTTTTTTTGGGCTTCGGGCTGTAGGGTAGTATAGGGGCCTTAATAATTAGAACAGGGTTTGGGGGGTATATGATACTATAAATATAGTAAGAAGCCCCTAAAACCCTGCTCTACTTATGTAAGGCCCATGCATTTTGGGGTTTGGGATGGGCTTGGATTCTGAGCGTCTTTGTGGCTTTCGGCATGGTGCCAGGGTTTTCCATGACCAGGACTCTTAGGCGATATAGGAATACATACAGTACATTAGGTGGCGAATAATCAACGGTACTATTCCTTAGAGCCTTAGGGCTCCTTATCATCACTGTACAATCTTTAACATGTTGCGGCCCGGTTTCTGTGGGTAAGTTCGGGCCGCAGAGTTTTCGACTTCGCGGTTTTTGTTCTCTGAGGCTTCAGCTGCTGGTGTGGAGGTTTCGAGTCTTTGCGGACTTTCTTGTGCCGTTGGTGGTTCGGGCCGTTTTTCCTGCTCTCGACACTGGTGGCACTCTGTCATTGTGCATACATCGGGCCGACTCGTGCGACGCGCGGTTTGTGTTTGTACATTGGACTTCTTCTCTGAACATAGCATCTCTTACGCGTCCTCTCTACCGGACTTCCGTATGTTGGCACAACAGCCGCGTCAGATTCAGCGAAGCATCGAGGCCATTTTCGTATCCCGCCATACTCCAACAAGAGCCCCGCACAATTCCAGAGCCAGAACCTGAAGCCCCGGAGCCCTAAACCTTGGGAACTGAAGCCCCAACCTCACAAAAAAATGGTTAGGGTTGAGGGTATCCTGAAGGAGAAACAGTCCCTCCGAAATCCAGGTCGCGCGTCGTCGTTGCGCGGATCGACCAGTCTGGGCGCCAAGGAGAGCGTCTTCTGAGTCTGTCAAACCCGAAATCCTGAAACCCTAAACTCGTAGGTCCTGGTTCGTTCGATGTTGGTTCCGAGAGCGGGCTTGTTGCTTTGGGACCTCAGCGGTGGTGGGTGTAGCTGCATAGCATGTCGTGGTTTAGGAGTGGCTCAGTGTATGCACGATTGGAACGCTGTGCTTTGGACAGAAGATTCCCAAAGGCTCCATGTACCCATATAGTAGGTACTGAGGCCTTAAAGTAGCTACATAGGGACCCCTTTAAGGCCTAAGTACCTACAGTATGGGTACATGGAGCTTTTGGGATTGTACCAGGGGCACCCTGAACTGCTGCCGGGCTGCCGCTCACCTGACAGTTGCGCTTTCATCAGCCCAGCAATGAGTACCCTTATTCCCTTATTGTAGTCCTAGGTTCCTTATAAAGTTACCCAATACCAAAAAGAGAGGCCTTTTTATTCTTAGGTTACTGGGTATCCTAGATGGTCAATCCTCAAAAACGGGAGTTTCCGAAAATAGGGGACCCTCATAGAGCACCCTAAATAGTAGGATCCTCATTATAAGGACCCTCAAATAAGGTACCCCTAGTTTTCGGAAACTCCCAAATGGACCTTGGACTTAGTACACCAAAGAACCAGGGCATGAATGCAGCATGCGCATACTCTATGTTGCAAGAAGCCTAGGCCGTAAACTTGTAATACGGTCATACAGACAAAGTAGGGACCGCCAGCTCGTACGTAGTCGCAGTACCCTGGAGCCGCAGAACGAATATCCAGAATTAAAGCCCTCTGCGACCTAAACTTCTTAAGCCCTGAATCTGCAAGCTCCACGTTTCGGGTTAACCCTATAAGCCCTGAAACCTACCTAAGGTTTAGGTCACAAACTGACCCGAGGTCCGAAAACGAGCACACCGAGCTGATCAAGGCAGCGCGGGAACGGAGCTGAGACCTTCCAAAGTATTCGCTTGTGCTGAAGTTTAGGGCTTTTAGGGCTTCTGAGTTTTACCCTAAGGCCTCAAAGTAGTTCCTTTTTGGGATTCATATATAGAACCCTATAAGGTAATCCCAAAAAGGAACTACTCTGGGGCCTATGGGTAGGGCTTAGGGCTTTTGGGGCCTTTGGGTCTTTCGTTCGGGCGCCTCCTTCATGGAGCCCTTCTCCGATTCCTTGATCCCAAATCCCTCAGCAGAAAGAAACACTTGGAACTCCTTCCCTAAAAGCCTTAGAGACTGGATCAGGAATCCCATCAAGAATTCGTAGAACCTCAGAACTCTTTTTAAAAAAGAATTCAGAACTCTTGTAAAGAAATCGCAGTAGAACTTCAGAGCTCCCTAAAGGAGTCAAAGAACTTCAGCGCTCCCTGAAAGAAGCCCTGAGGGCACGCCCTGGCTTCGCTTCTTCCCCCGGGGTCCCCGCAAGCGGGCCTTCGATGTCGAGCACCGATCGGCTGGGATCTCAGCCGCCAGGGTTTAGGGTTTGGGGGTTTAGGCTTTCCGGGTTTTGGGGTTTAGGGTTTCAGGGTTTGGGGGTTTAGGGTTTCAGGGTTTTGGGGTTTAGAATTTCAGGGTTTTGGGGTTTAGGGTTTAGGGCGTCGGGTTCGGGGGCTTAGTAATTAGGATAGGGTTCTGGGGGATCCTTGTTATAATTGTAGTATACCATCCCCCAAAACCCAATTTCGAACTATTAAGGCCCCTGCATTAGGGTTTTGGGGGCTTAGAGTGTTGCGGATTCAGGGTTTAGGATTTTGGTTTTGGGGTTTGTGCCTTAAGGTCGTGTAGTTGGGGTTTAGGGTTTAGGGTTAGGAATTGGGGCTTAACTTTAGGGTATGGCAGATAGCGCTTGGGCCTCAGGCCTCAGAGTTCAGGGTGTAGGTTGATGTCCAGCCTTTGGATTCAAGAGTGAAGAGCTCTTTCTAGGTAGTCGTCGTGCCTTTTTGGGTCCTTAGTATAGTACGGCACCTACTATTTAGGGTACCCAAAAAGGGACCTTAATTTTGACAGCTACCCATATATGGTTCTAGGGCTCGGTGGGGGTCCTGGGGGGGGGGGTTGAGGTTTCGATTTTGGTTATCGTTTTTGCTTTCAAGGGCGACTGGGCTCTCGTGCCCTTATTAAACGATGGGCTTCAGGAGTCATGAGTAGCCAGGATGTTAGATCAGTCGGGATGACCAGCATTTGACATGCTTTTAATTTGCGGTGCAGTCCGCGGGGAGAGACGGAGAGACCTGAAGGGCTCGATTGTGCCACGAGGCAACTTTAGACGCAAATAGACGGCATGGTTGGATGGGGTCATTTGGATAGGCTAGGGCACTGTACAGTTATGGTGTGGTATGATATGCTTGGTACTCATGCAATTGTCTAACATTACTGTTGGGGCAATCCCGCAAGTATCAGGAGGAGGACTTTCAACAAGTCTCAGGTTTCAGTTGGTGGTCGCTACCAACGCCTTACTGTTTCTCTTGTCTGCGGGGCTTCTAGAAGGAATTGAAACCTCGCAGTGGATTTGCTTGGAGGTCTCTGGCTTAGGCTTCAGGTATCTGTTTGAAGACTCAGCGTATTCTCAGTTCGGGTTCGGTGAAGGTGGAAGCGATTCTGGATTTCCTGGACGAGCAGGACTGAGGGTCAATGCATCTGCACGCAGGCATGTGCCATGTCTTCCTCATCCTGCTCGTCCTCATGCTTCTACACCTTCTGCCAGCACCATCATGAGCACCATCATGGCCAGCATCAGAAGCATCATCATCATCATCATCATCATCGGTTATCATCATCCATCATCAGCCCTCATCATCGTCGTCGTGATCATGATTCTGGTTGTCATCCTGGCCGTCGTCTTCGGCACTGCGGTGTCAGGGCCGGGTTCAGGTTTCTCTTGTCTGCTCCGCGAGTGGTCCCTGCATGTACCAAACTGTGGTCGATTTGCAGCCTTCACAAGGAAGATGAGGTCGCATCACCTAAACCCTAAGCCCTTTCCTTTGTAAGAGCCGTAGGAATGAGTGAGGAATGCATTCCTCCGGCTTTCATGGTTGTGGTTGCGTCTTTCTCGCGAGGTTTTCTTTATTGCAATCCTTCGTTCTCCAAATCTGCCTCTACTCCTCTAGTGAGAAACAGGGACATCCACTTGCAACGCTTCGCAAAGCAAACGCTTCACTATGATAGCGCAGGGTGCCAGCGACAACCAGCGCATGTGCGGCATCGCATCTGGGGGTGCTTTCGTCGGGGGGTGAGTGGGTGGGTGGGGGTGTCGTTGGTATCCTATGATATTCGTCCTTATCTAAATACACGTGCCTCTGCAGGAGCTTGCGCACGAGGAGGATGGGAAGGGATTTGTGCAAGCCTGCATTTACGGTTGCTGTTTCATTTTGGATCGACATGAATCTTGTAGTTCCCTTCTTGAGCCGGCCGTATACATCTTTGAGCCCTGTCCGCTCAGAATTTCTTTGGTCATTGTCAGGCTCATCAGCATGTAGCTACTCCTGCCGTTGCTGCGGGTTTTTGCGATGTACTCGAATCTCGCCCTGAACCTGGCCTGGTTATATTTTCATTCAACTCACCTTAACCTACCAAACCTTACTTTTCGTAGGTTCTTATTCTAAAGCCTAGTATGGAATTTATAATACAGGGACCCTACAAAAATGTAGGTTTTGGTAGGTTAAGGTACGTCCTCCAAACCAGAACTGCGACTCAAACGTCCGGTCTGAAGCTGCTCCAAACTCAAGCACGAAGCCCCTCCCTACATGGGAGCCGAAATCAGACCCTAAACCCCTAGACCCTAAACCCTAAACCCTTACGTAAGTATGAGAGGCCTCCAAACCCCCAGGCCCTGGATGTAGAACCCAAGGCACATAACCAACATAATGTAACATAGCTGAACTTACACCTTGCAGCTCGTTGACACAAAAAGCCCCAAGCGCTTGGAGGGCGCCGAGCTCTGAGCTCCACCTCCAGAAGGCTTCCGGCTACTCGGGGTTTTGGCATCCCCTAGACTACAGAGCTTACCACCAAGCGCTTTCCCAAACATTTCCACCTGTCGGTACCACGCATACGTCCAACCTACCCTGCTCTACCTGGTAAGTATCATTGTGGAGTCTGGCTCGTGGATACATCTCTAACCCAAGCAGGCACAACTACTGCAGGAACAGAAGATAGCAATCATAGCACTAAGCAATTAGTGTCCAATGGTCGAAAGATTGCGTAGAGACAAGGGGTGGTGGCTGGTTTGAGATTTTCGGGTTGAGGGTTTAGTGGGTAGGGAGGGTTTGCGTTCACTTGCGGTTAACTTGGTGCGATTGATAGCTGATTCGCACGGCACTACCGCTGAATTCCGTGGATTGTTCTGAAAAGAAGTCCTGCTGAAAACGAGCAAGAGACAGTTTTTCTGAGTTTGCTGGCCCTGCCACGATACAGACGGGCTTCAGAAGAGCCACTACTGGTCTTCGACCAGCAGGCATATTCTGAGGGAGGGCACCGTATCATCGTGAGCGCAGGACCTGAACCCCAAAGTATGCCCTGGCAGCATGGACGCTGTCATTGGGTGCGGATGACTGGACCCCGAAGTATGCACTGGCGACACTGGATGCACTCGGCACATGTGTGTGTGTGTGTATATATGTGCTATCATCCGGAGGGCGTGGGTGGGTATCTGTATCTAAGTCTACGTCTATATCTATTTCTCTATCTATATTCATGTCATGGAGTCATAGTATGTGTCATGGTTGATCCAGCAAACCAAGAGGCGTCCAACGCTGCGTATAAGCGTGTACATACTTTTCTGTACATGCCAGCAAGGTTGTGGGCGTGCGCAGGTGTGTGTGTGTGTGTGTGTGTGTGCGTGCGTGTTTCAGTTGAGTTTCAGTTCATCTTTCTGTTGCCAAAGTCTTGGCAGGGGTGCATGCATCTCTGGTCAGACTGTCGGCAAACAAACCTACAGATATAGACCAGCAGTTCAGGACCCTCTTCTGTATGATTCCTCGACTGTGGACCAGGTCACGCCTTCTCTGGGCAGACTGTGCGCAGACCCGTTGAGCAAAAAGTCCGTGTTTGCAAGCGCTGCGAGGTTCTAGCGGATTCTATATGGTTCATGTTCAGTTTTTTGAGGTATGGTGCGGCGGGGCTGCTCGTTGCCAGAAGCCAGAAGCTATCTGCGATCGAAAGTTGAAGCGGGACGGAAGGTTCAGACCGAACACATAGTGCGTAGCTATTGCAACTTAGAGGTTCGATTACAGTGCCTGCGCAGCGTTTTGAAATCAACCTTCTAGCTGCACCGTCAGCTTCGGGTTTTGTGACCATTTGCGCCATGCCGAACTACGGAATCGCGCTGCCCATGCGCATCGAAGACGCATGTCGGCGACCGTATTGCCCCCGCTCGGCCGCCCCTCGTAGACGTTTGGCGTGTCGCTCGTTCGGCCGATACATCAACGAAGTGTGGCCTGGCCGTGCGTACGATGTACAGGTTGATGCAGGTTGTGTTGCGCAGAGCATGGGCAATGCTGCGGTTCGGCAACACAGACAGAACGTTCTCGACCAAATATGTTAACTCGTTCTTTCGAGCGAGTCGGCTTTACCAGCCCTCCCGAGTAGGGTGAGATTTCGTGTCACGTTGTCGGCCTGCCAAGCTCAAGTTTACACATGTCTACACGATGCTACGGGCATCCTTGTCATGCTGATTGAAGGCCGGCGCCGCGCATGGCAAGCGATCCAAAGGTTCTATGAAGATGAAAAGTTACGAGAAGTTCTAGTGTCGTGAGCTCGGATTGTTCCCTGCCGTCCGTACCACGCACAGGTAGACATTAAAGGAAAAGCATTCGGGCGTTTTGAATTTAGCCAGGGAGCACACACCGGTCTCTGAGCTCGGCGAGCGAAAATAGTCGAACGCGCGAAAAGCCATCGGTGCCAGAGCCAGTGCCGGATGATGCCGGAGCAGTGGCTGGTCGCTGCTTGCGCCACCGCCCCCGCCGCTCGATCGCGGTCTGGACCTCGCTGAGACCGAGTGGCCGAGACCCCCAGCACTGGTACCTTGCAGAGAATACAGTATTGGGTTACTACCTTTGAGGTTCATGCAGGACGCGGCACACACCAGCGCCATCGCAACGAACCAACTCATATCAAAACCAGTCATTCCCCATGCATCGCGCAAGCAATATCACAGCAGCCGCTCGAGCATGCTTCAGACACATCGATGATCAGAACTGGAACCACGTGAAATCACAGCACATCAAGACCGGCCATTCCCAATGTCGACGTTCGGTTCCACCAGCACCCGCTCGAGGCAGATATCAGTGGCATCAAACAAATCAAAACCCAGCCGTTCCCGATGTAGCCGTTGGATTCCAGACATTTTGTCATTTCGTTTATTTTGCGACTGTTATTGCAAGGCTTGAGTTCCTGCTGCTTCCTGAACTACGACCTTCCTACGGGCCGCGAATGTCAGCAAGGTCGAGCTCGCGTTCCAGCCGCGGGGCCACTAGTTGGCTCGCGTGGGGCTGCGCCGGCCAAGCTGGCCCGAGGGCAGTATGGGCAGTACATCTTCGTGACGGCTTGTTGTAAGTGCAAAGACATTGCCAGCCTGCGCCCATGCCGACAACGCGACGCTTCGCATGGCGGGCGGAGCTCGCTAACGCTCGCTCGGTGCTCGCTTGGCACAGATGTGCACGCGATCCCGGGGCAGGCCGCCTTTCTCCACCCGCTCGAAAGACACTGCCGTGGCGTCACAGCACGTCAAAACCAGCCGTTTCCCATGTAGACAAGTAGATGCAACATTGTGCGATTGACTGCATACCTTCATGAAGAGGATGCCATTGATCAGGCTGCTTGCTCCTGCTAGGCCCGAATTGCATGCATCGCCGGAGGTGTGCACTTCCGCTGCTGGTCTGCACTGTGCTTGCCGTTGCGGCCACCCGATCTTTTGCAGCCAGCTTCCTTTCGTTTGTTTTGCCCAGCAGCGCGAGCGGTGATGGAAAATCACTTCTCATCAGCGACATCTTGGCTGACTGTTCCGAGCAGCCCCCCCTTGGCAGCCGCCGCATGCCTTAGTTTGTTGTTTCACCTGTCACTTGGGCATACATGGGCTACTTGCATTGTGGCCGCGAAGTACCCGCCCGACAAACGAAAATGCTACCACTTGGGGTCCGGTTCGGCGCAGAGGCTGCCATGGCTTTGTATGGGCAGCACTTTCGGCATGGGTGGCCCATGGTGGCCCAATGGTCGGGGCTGCTAGCTGTCGCTGCGCAGCGGGCTGTCGCCCCTTCTTTGTTAGGAACTCTGGCTCGCTGGGGCGTGCAGGTTCCGGGCATGGCCATGGGCCGCGGTTTCGGGACGCTTGCATCAGACACTATATGAGTCACATGTGCCCCGACGCGGTCGGGACATGAATGGCAATATTTCCGGATAGGGGCAGCTTCGGAAAGCTGACAAGCGGATAAAAGCAACGAGTGAATAGCATCGAGCAGGCAACAAGGGAAATAAAACCACGGAGCCCGTAAACAAGCTATTGTTTGTCGTTTTTGCGATGTTCTGCTTGGACTCGGTGTGGATCTTGAAGCCAGGTGTGGCATCGCATCCAACCTGGGCAAGACTCGGGTGACCGCTGCCGAAGCAGGCCCAGCTCCACCTGGGATCGCGGAACTGGGCGCTGAAGTGTGGCGAGGCGACCAGCCAGACGCTCAACGGGGTGTCGTCGTCCTTGGCTCCCCAGAGGCTCCGATAAGGCTATTTACTGCCAGGATATAGTTAAGTTAAATATTGTATATAGTTAATTTTTAGAGTATTATTTTTAACTCTAAAATAGTTAAATTTTATAGTCAATTTTCATGAATTAACTATATTTTCAAGATTGCATATCGATCCGTGCATAGGGGGGGGGGCGGGGCGGGCGAGAAATATGTTTTGTTCTGCAGCTGTTTCGGTTCTGTGGTTAAGCTAGACCCGTGTACGGTGGCTGCTCCTGCAGCCATGACACAGCAGCTGTTGCAGTTTGCAGCGAGCAAGCTCACAGACAGCTTGGAGTTGGAAGCCGAGCAGCCGGAGGCTGAGGAGCCAAAGGTTGAGGAAGTCGAGGGTGAGGCCGGTGAGGCACCCGGTGAGGCGGCACCCGAAGAGTCGGCTGAGCCTGAGCCGAAGCCTGGAAAGCCAAAGGCCAAGGCCAAGGCAAAAGCGAAGGCGAAGAGCACAGCCAAGGCAAAACCCCAACCCAAGGCCAAAGCCAAGGGGAAGGCAAAGGCAAAGGCAAAGGGCAAGGCAGCCTCTAAAGCAACGGAGCCAGAGGAAGAGGGCGAAGAGCAGCCAGAGGAGGCTGCCAAGCCCAAGAAGAACAAGAAGGAGCTGGACACGGCCGAGGCCCCCGTTCCCAAGAAGCCGAAGGCAGGAGCTGAGGTGGAGTCGCAAGAGGGTGGAGACCCAGACCCGGCACCGAAGCTGACTGCAGCTGCTCGACTGAAGAAAAGGGCAGAGAACCTCGTGCCAGACGAGGAGCCCCAAGCCGCAGAGGGGCCCGGGGACGAGCTGGAGCTCCAGGTGGCTGAGAAAAGGGACAAGAGGAAAACCAGGTTTTTCGAGTCCAACCTTAAGAAGCTGCCCGAGAGTGTTCAAAAGCTCTTTGCCTCCAAGGAGGTGAGTCGTGCAGACAAGACTCGTCTTGTCAACGAAGGAGTCGTCTGCAAGAACGGCAAGTGGGAGTTTGCTGTTAACCCGCCTGTGTTTGAGGCCCTCACCACAAGCTACTCGAGTGTGACTGGATCCACTCGGGACAAAGCCTACCCCAAAGCCATCATGATTGGCAAGTGTGCCGGGGAGGAGAACTTCCTTCGTGGACTCAGGGATGGCGACATTGAAGCCACGACTGAGAATGGCAAGCAGATGTTCAAGTTCCGGTCCCTGGAAGTGACGGCTACCACTGGTGTGAGGACCGAGACCGGTCACAAGAAGCAAGCAGAGTCCG